CACAGGAACACACTAGGTTACAACAGTGGCGACGCAGGTGAGATCAACCAAGATTATAATCAGTGTTAACACAGGAACACATTAGGTTACAACAACTGCATACCACCTACTACATAGGCGGGTACTTGCCGTGAAGCTATTAATAATGGGATAGATGTCCGCAGCGTCTATCTCACCCTCTATTCTTAACCGCATTTCGAAGCTAATTCAAGGTGAAAATATGGAAGTAGGCGCAGTGGCTGACAAAATCAAACAACCTGTCTCCGTTTCACAAAAACACGCACACACAACATGAGCTCCGATTCTGCATTTAAGAGACATCGTAGAGGTTGTATCGGACACCAAAGAAGGTAGGAGTGTCACAAAGACCACAGCAAGAAGGAGTCTTCGTAATCTGAGCGCGGAGTTATCATAATTAATGGTAGGTCAGTAACATGCTTACTTACTGTTCCCGCCCCCAAGCCGCGGATGCCAATAGGCAGAAATACATTATCGGGTCGCCAACCCCGGCGTTGGGTATGTCTGGCTGATGACGGCTAATAAGTCAGAAAAATCCATTCTGGTCTCCCTTGTCTTTATCGGTAATGTATTTCTGCCTATCATATGATAGCCGTTAAACGACTGCAGGCGGTACTCAAGAATGATCCCCAAGGCACAGCTGATCGGTGAGCGCTTACCGGCCACAGCTAACCGCGCACAACGGGAGGACAAAACGCACGTAACGTCTATTGGCGCGGAAGCAACCCAACCATAGAATACTTTGTTTCACACGCTTAATCGAGTTGATTGTTTCCGTACACATCCCATAGTCTGACGACGAGCTGGGGAACCAGCGACGAAAATTTACACATTACAGTTTTACAAAGAATTTCTCCACTTCTTAATTAAATATCTTGGGTTGAATCTCTGAAACCATACCTCGAAAACTATGTCGTTTCGGCATCTCCGTCACCCAGAAGTCCGCATACCCCTGCACGAAACCATATGCCGAGGTAAGGACTCCCTACCCTGTAGAACAGCTAAGAAGCGTTATTTACCGCATACCGTGCGCCAACTGTCCTTGTGTTTAGTTTGGCCACATAGGCCGACGTCTGGAAACTCGCATTAACGAACATAAGTTAGGTGTTCGCCAACGGGACCATTTATTAGTCGTGTTTGCGCACTCCCTTGATTGTGATCACTGCATCAATTGGGATGGCCCAGAGGCGATTACCATGGCTAACAAGAGACAAGCGAGAGAATTCCTCCAAGCTTGACACTCGAGCTTGACCATCACCAACAGGGACATGGACCTCGATTCACAGCACGCTGGTTTTCGTGCATGGTCCGCGACTTTTTATGGCCAGAACCGAGACTTCGATGAAAATTATGGCCGAATACGATCAACTTTTGTGGAGTAACCATGCAAATGCCCATTCTACAAACGAGTAGTACTACAAGCACTATTAATTCTATTGCCAACTGCTTACGCCACTATACCAACAAGACCACACGACGACTTAGTTTAATCGAAAGTAGCCCAATAATAATCAAATGAAATCGCTTGGCTACCGAATAGACAAGTAAGCCATGAGTTCGAAAAAACTGTTGAAAGGGGGTTAAAACCCAAAACCTACAGGAAACTGGAAGAAAGTCATATCAGAACGCATTGAAATAAACTTTTTCACCTTATATTTAGGTAGTAGCAGAGTTAACTCTAGGTGACAGACATTATGGGAACTAGAACGTCGGGAAACCCCATTCTAATAAGAATTAGATGCATATTGGCTACCTGTCCTTAACACCGTCTCAGCAAAACGATGCAATATACACTACCAAGTGCAATGAAAGCAAGCGGCAAGAAACAACGTGGATTGGGAAATTTCATTCGCATTGGAAGAGAAGCAGAGATCGACAGCGGTCTGGTTTGATGTTTTATGCTCTATAAGAAGGTTTATGATGGGATCAAGTAAAAGATGTCCAACTATTTTAAACATGAAGTCGGCCTGGACTTAGAATAAACAGGTTTCCCTGTAGTTGAAGTTCTTTCTGAGTGCGAAAGGGCCTCGACCAATATACATTGTAAAAACTACTTTTGGTTACCCACATATACGAAGGCTTACGAAATAAATGTAAGCAAACTTAATAAATTCTGAGGATGGTCCTCAGGCCTGATAAAAACAACGATAGTCTAAGAGAAGCACTTATAAAATATCTTAGTTCTAAAGAGAAAAGTACCCACTCGGCCGTATTCACGCAATTAACAAATTTCATTAAAAAAAATATTTCCGAAGACCGCAGAGTATAAAAAATCCAACAACTAGAATAGTTAAGATGGACAAAAAGGAGTTAAGTGAATCATGAGTTCGGTTGTCGTCCTGTGGGCAATGTTAGACAAGCGTTTTTACTTTTAAAACATTGAGAGGAAATGGAAGAAACGAAATATGCTTATTTAAATAATCAATGCACTTTCGGAAACCGAAATACCTGATTGAAATGTGGAAGGGACATGACAATCGGTGTGTTGGGCTTGCAAGTGCTCATGTCGAGAACGCCGGACTTCGGGCATTTGGGATAGTCTACACAAAAGCCACGATTGGCTGGATTTGCGTCGGCAGAAAGCAGAACTTTTTCGGATAGTTGAAAATTAATGGTCGGCACACCGTGTACATAGTCAATACCGCGGCTTTCAAATTCCAGAGATCGGCAAATATCTCCGGAAAATACGTACTCAGTAACGCCTTCCTTCCGAAATGGTGGAAACAATGAGCCGTCAGATCCATTAATTTGATTTGCTTGCTCTGTCCTCCAAATATTTAAGCTGACTTCATCGTTATAAGCAACAACTTTTCCAAGTTTTTCAATGTCCGAGACACCATCATTTATGGTAAAATTCTCACCAAACGAAGTATTTCCGTTAGTAATTATACCGACGTAAGGAGAAACTGGGATCCACTTGCTGACCTCCTTCAGAACAGGATCTTCATATCCCCGTATCAATTGGTCCACCGTTCGATTTATAAATAAACTACCGCC